CGCCCCCAAGCCCTATCTCTGGCTGTTTGAAGACACATCATTAACGATGCACTGCCTTGATATCCCTCAATGAAACCAATAGCCTTGTGACGGCCCTGTGGAGAGTTTTGAGCTAATTTCTGTCTGTGTTCTGTTTTGCACAGGCCTACATCCTGTGGAACGTTTCCTACTATACATCCCCATTATTGCTGCTTTACTGCTACAGGAAAGGTAACAGCCTGACTGGAACTCGAATTGTGGGTAAATGTTGGTGTGTTTGCCCAGGCCAGTGGGCCGATGGAACTCCCTGACAGCGTCCAGGTCAAGTTGAGTCAGTGCGAAATCCTCCCTCTCTTGCTGCGTACAATCCTAGCAGGACAGATATGGGGCCGTTCAGCACATTACACGTGTGCTAGCTGTTTGCAGGAGCAGTCCGACCCATTCTGACCCTGCCCCTCTCTGTCCCCGTAGCCCCTGCCAGTTTCATTACTTACTGAATGCCCTTTGGAAAACACAGTTCACTCAGCTACTGTTCCCTTCCAGCCCCCAGGACTCACTTCTTTCTGAACAAAACAAATCTGTACTGTTTAAAAGTTGGTGTTTAAGTTGCTGGGAAGTAACTTTTTGGGAAGTGCACGTTGCTTTTCGAAGGATAGCACACACGTGAAGCTTTTGTCACACTTAAACATGTTGGACTCGCCGTTCCAGGGGCTGAAGGAAACAGGAAAAACGCCATTTGGCCCATTCAATCTGCCACGGTCGTTATCTCCCTGTCATTTTCCCGTACTATCTCTGCATCCCTCGCTATCTGACATGCTGGGAGCTCTCAGGCTCTGGTTCGAAGGAAAGAGCGAGGAATCCCAAAGTGCCAAAGTATCACCTCATCTCCGTGCTTCATGGTGCGTCCCTTACTTGGGCTCTGTCCCCTTGGTACCAGACAAGCCCCCACACCCCTGAGCGAGGGGTAAGTATCTTTCGTGCATCTTTCCTGACCAAGCAAACAGTACCAGCCTTGGAGTTCCCTGTAACCAGGAACATGAACAATGAGCTCTCTGAATAGGAGCACAGTCAGGATTTTGTTTTACCCCAACCACAAACCCACAGCCGCACTGACCCTCCAGCTCGGGCTTTCTGAAACCATGTTTTCATTCCCTACTTGGGATGTGGGTCAGCCTGTGTTGCCCCATCCCTAATTGCACCACAGAACTTAGAAGTGGGTGGCTTTTCAGAAGAACATGTTTGGTGCTGCTTTCTTTTGCCCCTGGCAGTTTTTGATTGGGGTCCCCTGGGAGGGTACTCACTGCTGTGGCGCCTGGAGTCACATACAGGCCAGACTGGATCAGCTGGGAGATGACCTTCCCTGAAGGATGTGACTGAACCAGTGGTTATTTCTGACGGGCCCGCAGTTCCATTAGAGATGAGAACTGATTGCACATGAATTGATGGAGTTTGATGTTTGGGGCTGGGATTTGAACTGGTGTCTCTCCAGCATTGGGGCTGCTGGGATTACTAGCTCACTAAAGTTTACCCCCAATGTGTTTAATCCAGCTCTCTCTCCAATGCGCCGTCCCCCTGGATACAGTCAGGTGAAAGCGTAAACCAAACATAGAGATCAAACGTAACAATCCTTTCGGTTTGGGCAGGCAAGCAACAAATGCAGTTTAACACAGGGAAGGATGTTCCTGCTCAGATTGCCTGTTGTAATTTGAGTCTGATGACAGGGAACACCATTCTGTTTGCCTTATCATTTGTTTCTGGAAGCAAAAGTATAAAGGTCATCTGTGCCTTTGAGAGTGCAGAACAGAATTAGGAAGGAGGTACAAGAGAGTGAGCTTGTAAAAACAGTGTACTGGGGGCACGATGACTCAGTGGTTAGCACTGCTGCCTCACAGCGCCAGGGACCCGGGTTCGATTCCATCCTCAGGCGACTGTCTGTGTGGAGTTTGCACATTCTCCCCGTGTCTGCGTGGGTTTCCTCCCACAGTCCAAAGATGTGCAGGTTAGGGTGGATTGGCCGTGGGAAATTGTCTCATGCTGTCTGTGGATGTGCAGGCTGGGTGGGTTAGCTTTGGGAAGTGTGGGGTGACAGGGATAGGGTGGGATGCACTCGAGAAGGTCAGTGCCGACTCGATGCAGGACCTAAATGACTCACTCCTGACTCTCATCTTGTTCAGGAAGAAAAGCAGGTGTAAAACTACATGGCGAGGAAAGGGAATAGAAAACTGAGCTGAAGGAGGTGAAATAGGAGCAGATTAAAGGCCAGCATTGACCTCCTGGGCTGAATGGACTCTGTGTGTGTGTGTGTGTGTGTGTGTGTGTAAGGAGGATTGCTGAGGACCATGTAACATACAAACAATCTTTGCCAAACTCTGAAAATGCTGTCATGTCTCTGCTCCTGTTTGTTTAGGTTACATCGTCATGTCCAAGATTATCCCAGCTACATCGTACGCAAGTGTACTCCTGCTGATACTTACCGGGGTGGTCTGCCTCCGAGGTAGGACAGTTTCCATTCGGCTCCATGCTTAAAGCCGCAGAATCCCCATCCACTGTCACCCTCTTGTAGTTTCTGGTCAGTGCTGGCCTCTGGGATATCGGTGTGTGGCTAAAGGCATTGCCGAAAGCTGTAGGCATTGGGATTTCTGTCCTGTCCATTCTGGATGGCCTCTTTCGGAGGCAGTGCCATCGATTTTCAAGCCCCCTTCAAAGATCCCTCCACTGGCAGTGATGAGGTCTTCCAGTGGATTTTCAAATCTCTCTCTCTCTTTGATGAGAGTGTTAGCAGAGAAATGAGATAGACAGCTGTTGATGAAGCAGTTTTTTCCCCCTCTATTAGTCTGTGTGTAAATTATTATACCCACTAACCGGGTCATGTGACCTTCCTCTCCAAGGTTTGTAGGCTCAGTGACTCCAGCCGAGCTGCTTATGTTATTTGCAAATGGGACAGACTTCCCCTGCTACAGCCCGTCTCGTTTGCTTCCCAGAATGTCCGAGTCCAGTGGATAACGATATTCTCCGTGGTTGACACTCTCCGATAAAGCAGGGCTGCTAAATGTGACTTTGAGGCCCCTCGGGACATTTTGCAATGTCTGAGAGCTCTGTCTAAATCCGGCCATAACAGTCAGCCATTTATTTTCCTCGGCTGTGTAGGTGTGGGACGCTGGACCAATCCTGACTACGTGCAGTTTATCAGCGTCTTGGAAGAAACCAAGCGAAACAACACACCAGAGAACAAGGTAAATTGCTGGGTGACCCCACTCCCCCCTCTACCGCTTGGCGGTGTTGGCATCGGCCCTGGCTCTGATGTGTACTTAGACAGGGTGGTTGAGAAGGCGTTCGGTACACTTACCTCAATTGTTCAGACCATGTGAGTGTAGGTGTCGGGACGTCGTGTTGAGGTTGTACAGGACATTGGTGAGGCCTCTTCTGGAGCACTGTATCCAGTTCTGGTCTCCCTGTTATAGGAAGGGTATTATCAAGCTGGAGAGGGTTCAGAAGAGACTTACCAGCATGTGGCTGGGAATGGAGGGTTTGCGATATAAAAGTAGACTGGATAGTCAGGGGCTCTTTTAATTGGAGCATAGGAGGTTGAGAGGTGACCTTAGAGAAGTTTATAAAATAATGAGGGGTACAGGTAGAGTTAATGGTGGCTGTCTTTTCCCTAGGATGGGGGATTTCAAGACTAGGGGGCACATTTTTAAGGTGAGAGGAGAGAGATTTAAAAAAGACTTGAGGGGCAAATTATTTACACAGAGGGAGGTTTGTATGTGGAATGAACTTCCTGAGGAAGTGGTGGATGTGGGTAGAGTACAATGTTTAAAAGACATTTGGATAAGTACATGAATAGGAAAGGTTTGGAGGGATATGGGCTTAGCACAGGCAGGTAGGACTAGTTTAGTTTGGGATTATGTTCAGCATGGACTGGTTGGACCGAAGCTTTGTTTCCATGCTGTGTGACTCTATGGTGAATGCACCACTGCAATATGAAAGTATTGCCGTGCCATGGGGTTAAAAGCTGGGAAAGGGGCTCATCTTACTCTTATTTTCTTATTCCTTCAGGGGATGTGGGCATCACTGGCCAGGCTAGCACTCATCACCCAGAGGGCAGCGAGAGTCAATCCCATTGCTGTGGGTCTGGAGTCACGTGTAGGCCAGACCAGGTAAAAGTGGCAGTTTCATTCCCAAAGACATAAATGAACCAGAGATAACGCAGTGTGGAGCCGGAGGAACACAGCAGGCCAGACAGCATTAGAGGGGCAGGAAAGCTCCTCCTTCAGAAACCAGGTCCCGACCCAAAACGTCAGCTTTCCTGCTCCTCTGATGCTGCTTGGCCTGCTGTGTTCATCCAGCTGTACACCTTGTTATCTCTGATTCTCCAGCATCGGCAGTTCTTACTGTCTCTGAGCGAACCAGATGGGTTTTTCCGGACTGTCGACAATGGATTCATGGCCATCTCTGGACTCTTGTTTTTATTGAATTCAGATTTTTAATGAACTCACACTGCACCATCTACCATGGTGGGATTTGAACCTGGGTTCCCCGAACATTATGTGGGCCGGTGGATTAGCAGTTCCGTGACAATGCCACTTGGCCATCACCTCCCCTTATGTAACCACTGTCAGTGTTTGTAAAAGCCCCATCTGGTTCACCAGCCCTCTTCAGGAAATCTGCTGTCCTTGCCCAGTCTGGCCTACACGTGACTCCAGTCAACCCACAGCAACGTGGTTAATTCTTAACTGCCCTCTGAACCGGTTCAGGTGAACTGCTCAGTTCGAGGGGCAGTTAGGGAAGGGCGATAAATTCTGGCCCAGCTAGCAGCAGCTACATTTCATATTTTAAAGAAAAAACTTGGGCCTCGGATGTAGGAGCAAGTTACTGCAGACACTGGAATCTGTGCTGAAAACCAGAAACGCTGGAGATCACAGCGGGTCAGGCAGCATCTGTGGAGAGAAAGCAAGCTAACGTTTCGAGTCTAGATGACTCTTCATCAGAGCCTGTTGGCCTTTGATGTATTCAGTCTGTAACCCTCACGTGGAAGAGAATCCCAAAGGTTCGCTACATTCCGAGCCAGAAATTTCTCCTCATCCCAGTGTGACTGGGACTCCCGTCTCCTGACATCGGGGTGGGGGGGGGGTGATAACCCTCTCAGCATTGACTCCTTCCTCCCTCAAAGAATTTAATTTACCAAGTTGTCCTTATAATCTTTAGAGAGATTAGGCCCATTCCAGACGATCTAACCCAGTGATACCATTGTGGAATTGATCCACCCGTGTCTTCGATTGCAGTAACTAATGCAAAATATAATGTACGCTGGAAATCTGAGAATAGTGGAGGAACTCAGCAGGCCTGGGAGGGTTTGAGCTATAGGGAGAGGCTGAATAGGCTGGGGCTATTTTCCCTGGAGTGTTGGAGGCTGAGGGGTGACCTTATAGAGGTTTATAAAATCATGAGGGGCATGGATAGGGTGAATAGTTATGGTCTTTTCCCCAGGGTGGGGGAGTCCAAAACTAGAGGCCATAGGTTTAAAGTGAGAGGAGAAAGATTTGAAAGGGACCTAAGGGACTACTATTTCACACAGAGGGTGGTGTTTGTATAGAACGAGCTGCCAGAGGAAGTGGTGGAGGCTGGTACAGTTACAACATTTAAAAGGCATCTGGATGGGGACATGAATAGGAAGGGTTTAGAGGGATATGGGCCAAATGCTGGCAAATGGGTCTGGGTGAGATATGGATTGTGGATGATTTGGATTAAAGGGATGAGGGGGTGATCTAATTGAAACTTCCAGAATACTGAACGGCCTGGACAGAGTGGATGTTGGGAAGATGCTTCCATTGGTAGGAGAGACTAGGACCCGAGGGCACAGCCTTAGAGTAAAGGGAAGACCTTTTAGAACGGAGATAAGGAGAAACATCTTCAGCCAGAGAGTGGTGAATCTATGGAATTCACTGCCACAGAAGGCTGTGGAGGCCGGATCATTGAGTACATTTAAGACTGAGATAGATAGGTTCTTGGTTATCAAGCGGACCAAGGGTTACAGGGAGAAAGCGGTTGAGAAACTTATCAGCCATGATTGAATGGCGAGCAGACTCGATGGGCCGAATAGCCTAATTTATGCTCCTATGTCTTATGGTCTTATGGTCTGTTTCTATGCTGTATGACTCTGTCTGGTGGCGCCTGTGGAGAGAGTTATAACAGCTAACATTTAGAGACCAGACTGACTAGTTGGGAAGTGATGGGGCTTTTTTTTTTGCAAAGGGAGGAGTGAGTGGACCAGATGAGGTGCAGGCCCAGTGCAAAAGGCAAGGGCTGCTCATTGTGTGAAGGAGAAATTGAGATGTGGAATGGGAGCAAATTAAGGTGTGCAAGGGGTCCACGGTTAGACTGCGATGGGAAACAGGCTGGACAGGCTGAATGGCTTCCATCAGTTCCCATGGTCCTGTGTCCTTCTGTAGGTGAAGGAAATTTGGGATATCGGGTTTCGGCTTTCCCCTTGAGCTGTGTCCGTGCTGCTTACCACACGTGCTTTGTTGGGTGATAGTGAGCTCCATGTTCCTCTTTGTGTCTCTGCAGAAAAAGCTGGCAGCTTACAGCTTTGATTTCAACCATTGGCCTGAAGACTTCCGTTGGGACGAGGTCAGCAGCCAGTAAGTGTCAGAAACGACTCCCTTCAGCAAACAAGCAACATTTCCCGCAACGTCCCGGAGCTTTTTGCACCGTCAGGTCTATTTCTACACGGAGATCCTCTGAGCAGGGATGTCGTCATTTCTGTTCAGCTCGTTGGCAATAAACACGGGGGTTTGGGCCCAGTATTTATTGCCCCGTCCCTAGTTGCCCCCCTTGAGAAGGTGGGGGTGAGCTGCCTTCTTGAACTGCTGCAGTCCATGTGCTGTGGGTTGACCCACAATGTCCCTTAGGGAGGGAATTCCAGGATTCTGACCCAGCGACACTGAAGTAACGGCGATATATTTCCAAGTCAGGATGGGGAGTGGCTCAGAAGGGAACTTGCAGGGGGTGGTGTTCCCATGTTTCTGCTGCCCCTTGTCCTTCTGGATGGAAGTGGTTGTGGGTTTGGAAGGTGCTGCCTGAGGATCTTTGGTGAATTTCTGCAGAGCATCTTGTAGATGGTACACATGGCTGTTACTGAGCGTCGGTGGGGGAGGGAGTGGGATGTTTGTGGATGTGGTGCCAATCAAGCGGGGGCTGCTTTGTCCTGAATGGTGTCAAGCTTCTTGAGTGTTGTTGGAGCTGCCCCCGTCCAGGGGCAAGTGGGGCGTATTCCATCACACTCCTGGCTTGTGCCTTGTAGACGGTGGGACAGGGTTTGGGGAGTTACCGCAGGATTCCCAGCCTCTAATTTGATTTTGTAGCTGCTGTCCTGTTCAGTTTCTGGTCAATGGTAATCCCCTGTCCCCTGAATATTGATGGTAGAGGATTCAATGGTTGTAATGGCATTGAGTAGCAAAGTAGGATTGTTAAGCTCTCTTACGTTGGAGGCAGTCATTGCCTGCCATTTGAGTGGTTGAAATGTTACTTATCAGTCATCAGCCCATGATGGATATTGTCCAGATCTTGTTGCATTTGAACATGGACTGCTTCAGTATCTGAATGGTGCTGAACATTGTACAATCATCGGCAAACATCCCCATTTCTGACCTTATGCTGGAGGGAAGGTCATTGATGAAGCAGCTGAACGTGGTTGTGCCCAGGACACTACCCAGGGGATCTAGAGTCTTGTGATGCTGTGCTAGTGCCCCTACCTGGGGTCATAAGATCTGGGTTCAAGTCCTACCAGCTCCTGAACTGTGTTATATCTGAACAAGTTGATTTTAAAACATCTTGCCTGAGGATCTCCAAGTATGACTCCAACCAGTGGAGAGTTTGTCCCCCAATGCCCACTGATTGCAATTCTGCTCGGGCTCCTTGATGCCACACTCAGTCAAACGCAGCCTTGATGTTGAGGGCTGTCGCTATCAGCGCCCCTCTGGAATTCAGCTCTTTTGTCCTTGTTTGAACCAAGGCTGTTAATGAGATCAGGAGCTGAGTGGCCCTGGCAGAACCCAAACTGAGCGTCACTGAGCAGGTTATTGCTGAGCAGGTGCTGCTTGATAGTGCTGTTACTGACACCTTCCATCACTTTACTGATGATCGAGAGGAGACTGATGGGGCGGTAATTGGCCGGGTTGGATTTGTATTGCTTTCTGGGCAGCTTTCCACATTTTTGAATCGATACTCAAATTATAGCTCAACTGGAGCAGCTTGGTAAGGGGTGCACTTAGTTCTAGAGCATGGGTCTTGAGTACTACAGCCAGGATGTTGGCAGGGACAATAGCCATTTCGGGATCCGGTAACAAGGGAACGAATGGAATTGATTGACAACTGGGACCGGTGATGTTGGTAGATGGAGAGGAGGATGAGATGGCTCATTCGTTGGGCGCCTGTGGCTGTGTGTGTAAATGATGGAATGCTGGCTTTCGTTCGAATGAGGGTGGAGTGTAAGAGTGCTGCAGGTGTACTAAGGACAGATTTGCACCTCCTTTTTGAAGGTGAGGTTTTTACTTGTGTTCGGAGTGGTTCAGAGAAAGCTTGCTCAGCTAAGTGCTGACTCAGAGAGATTCACCCCGTGGTGATTGGTTGAACGAGTGTTGGTCAAGGCTGGACGAAGAAAGATTGTGTTATTGAGATGTAGAAGATTCCGTGGGGTCTTTTGGGGAGATGCCGTGAGAATGTTTCCCTTTGTTGGAAAACTAGGGAGGAGAGTTTTATCTCTAAGGTTTTGGAGTAGATTGGTAGCTTGGGTTGTGGATGTTGTGGTTGGTTTGCTCGCCGAGCTGGTTTGTTGTTCTGCAGATGTTTCGTTACCATGCTGGGTAACATCATCAGTGCAGCCTCCAATGCAGGAGAGTTTTAGAGTCAGGAGCTGTCCATTTCATGCAGAAGGAATCCTTACCTCAGTGTCTGTTGGGCTCCTCATCGGTGAGGACAGGGGGATATTTGTGGAGCCATCTACTTCAGTGGGTTGTTTAATTGTTCACCATTCACGGCTGAACATGGTGGGACTACGAAGCTGAGATCTGATCTGATGGTCGTGGGATTGCTTAGCTGTTTGGTGGCTTCACCAGGTTGACGCCTCACCTTCAGGTATGCCTGGTGATGCTGCTGGCATGCCCTCCTGCACTCTCCATTGAACCAGGATTGATCCCCTGGCTTGATGGTAATGGTTGAGTGGGGGATATGCCGGGCCATGAGGTTACAGATTGAGCTCGGGGACAATCCTGCTGCTGTTGGTGGCCCACAGCGCCTCATGGATGCCCAGTCTTGAGTTGCTAGATCTGTGCGAAGTCTGTCCCATTTAGCACGGTGATAGTACCACACAACATGATGGAGGTTACTCTCAATGTGAAGGTGGGACTGCATCTCCACAAGGACTGTGCGATGGTCACTCTTACCGATACTGTCATGGACAGATGCATCTGCAGCTGGCAGATTAGTAAGGATGAGGTCAAGTATGTTTTTCCCTCTTGTTGGTTCCCTCATCACCTGCCGCAGACCCAGTCTAGCAGCTATGTCCTTTAGGACGCGACCAGGTCAATCAGTAGTCCTGCTGCCGAGCCACTGTTGGTGTTAGACATTGAAATCCCCCACCCAGAGTACATTTTGTGCCCTTGCCATCCTCAGTGCTTCCTCTAAATGTTGCTCAACATTGAGGAGTACTGATTCATCAGCTGAGGGAGGATGGTATGTGGTAATCAGGAGGTTTCCTTGTTCAAATGAGCTTTGGTGATGATGGTTTTGGGATAAATATTTTTCTCTGAACACCAGCGTAAACCGTCCCAACAAAGTCCTGCATGAGAGATTATTGTGCAAGGCTAAAGCACATGGGATTGCAGGAAACTGGTTGGCAGAGAGGAAACAAAGAGTAGGAGTTAATGGGTCCTTTTCAAATTGGCAGGCAGTAACTAGTGGAGTGCCACAGGGTTCGGTGCTGAGACCCCAGCTATTCACAATATATATTAATGATTTGGATGAGGGAACAAAACGTAACATCTCCAAGTTTGCAGATGATACCAAGTTGGGTGGGAGGGTGAACTGTGACAGGGATGCAGAGATCCTTCAGCATGATCTGGACAGGTTGGGTAAGTGGGCAAATCAATGGATAAATGTGAGTCTATTCACTTTGGATGCAAAAACAAGAAGGCCGATTAGTTGTAAATTGGGAAAGGGGAGTGTGCAGCGGAACCTGGGTGTCCTTGTGCACCAGTCGCTGAAGGTGCAGCAGGCAGTAAAGAAGGCAAACAGTATGTCGGCCTTCATTGCGAGAGGCTTTCAAGTACAGGAGCAGTTATACAGGGCCTTGGTGAGACCACACCTGGAATATTGTGTGCAGTTTTGGTCTCCTTTCCTGAGGAAGGATGCTCTTGCTCTCAGGAGAGAGCAGTGAAGGTTTACCAGGCTGATTCCGGGGATGGCAGGACTGACATATGAAGAGAGATTGAGTGGGTTGGGATTGTTTTCGCTGGAGTGAAGGTGAATGAGGGGGGATCTCATAGATACTTATAAAATTCTAACAGAACTAGATAGGGTAGATGCAGGAAAGATGTTCCCGATGGTGGGTGTGTCCAGAACCAGGGGTCACAGTATGAGGATTCGGGGTAGACCATTTAGGACGGAGATGAGGAGACATTTCTTCACCCAAAGAGTGGTGAGCCTGTGGGATTCATTACCACAGGTAGTTGATGCCAAAACATTGAATGCATTCAAGAGGCGGCTAGATATAGCACTTGGGGCGAATGGGATCAAAGGAGCACTGGGTTGGTGGGGACAGTTAGTAAACCGGTGGTTATATTGGTTATAATGGGGTCTGC